TATGTATGCTGGGAGGTGTAAAGTATGATGCATCTTTCTTGCCTGTGTTCCAAGGAGTACAGATCAAGGGACTTCAAATGTTCCCAGTAACTGAAGTGCTTGACTGTACTTACACATGCAGTGAAATTTTCTGTGTATTCTCCAGATCTGCAATTTCGCCTACTTTGAAAGGGACTGTTAGCGTACAGCAGTACGGCCACTCCTCATTTAACCCTTTGACTGTTTCAGGCCCCTCTCTGAAACTGTCATTCTATGTCACCAAATATTCGAAAAAAAAAATTATTTTTTCTTATGAAAATGTTAGGAATATTTTTGTGAGTGTTTTAAGCCTAATAAAAAATTTTTGCCATCAGTACTTACCAAGATATAGAGCTGCAAAGTTTGCAGAAAGTGATGTGCGTACGGCAACAGCGGCGACTGCCGCCAACCTGGTATTCTTTTATGTACTCTAATTCAAAGGTTTCTTGCATTTTTCAATATTTTTCTGTTCCAGGTAACTTATGTGGCCTGTGAGACCAATGTAAGGTGCATTGTTCAAATATACACTCATTGTTTACAACACAATAACAGAACAAACTTTATCACTATTAGTTTGTGTATACACTTTGTTTACACAAACAATACAAAACAATGTTTATTAATATTGTTCCATAATATATATACATATGTACACTCAATAAACACGTTCCTAGAACTGCTGCAGCTTGTGGAACTCTTTGAAACATGGGTATATGCAGAGGGGCACTTCACACTCCTCACACATAAAACGAGTGTCTCTGCGTGTTTGTGGGCGTTTTGTGGTATGCATACATACATAACACCTCTTCTGAGCATTTTTCTTGGCAGTAGTAGGAGGCAGTTGTATGGGGTACTGATCACCAGGCCTCATACGAGATGACGTCTTTGGGCGCTGGTCTATTGCAGGAGTTGCTCCTTGGTACTTTGCAATTATTTGTCTGATTACTGACAGGCAAAATTCACCATATTTTGGTGTTTTGTTGGTCTTCAACTTGTATATGTTATAAGCATTTAGCATAGAGATATCAACAAGATGGAAAAAAAGTTTTATATACCACTTATAACTCTTGCGTACACAGTCTGCAAACCCAATCTGCATGTCACATTTGTCCACTAAGCGCATATTGAGGTTGTAGTCCATGACAGCTGCAGGCTTTAGAATGGGTTCATTGGTCTCTCTGTTGTCCCTGCCACTGGGTACCATTTTGTTTCTGTGAACTGATGTCAATAATGTGACATCACGTTTGTCATGCCACCGAAATGCCATGATGTCATTGGCAGCAAAGGCCTGCACCTCACCTCTGCGAGTGCTAGCGTCGAACCTTGGCATATGTTTACGATTACGACGCACTGTGCCACACACGTCTGTCCAGTTCACTCGCAAGAAATCACTGAGTAAGGGGCTTGTGTACCAGTTATCAGTAAATAACATATGCCCCTTACCAAGATATGGTTCCATCATTGTTCGAACCACATCACCAGAGATACCCATTAACTTCATGGTATCTCTCAAAGTATTACTGCCAGTGTACACAATGATATCCAAAACTAGACCACTTCTGCAATCACACAGTACAAATAGCTTTATACCAAAGCGTTTCCTCTTGCTTGGTATATATTACTTGAATGAGAGTCTTCCTTTGAATAAAATCAAGGACTCATCAATAACAAGCTTCCTGAAGGGATAAAATACATGCAGCACTTTGTTTCAGGTACATAAACACATTTCTGATCTTATATAACCTGTCGCTTCTGTCAGGCCTGGTTTTGTCTGAAAAGTGTAACAACGTAACAGTATCAGGAAACGATTGACACCTACAATGTCACTAAAACCTGGAGTTGAAATCAGGCGTTCTGTTGCCCAGTAATGTGGTGACAGTGGTGCTTATACAAAATGTGGCATAAGCATTATCGTGGCAAAAAACAGGTACATCTCTGCCACAGTTGTCTCCTTCCACTTGTGTAGCCGTGATTTTGGTGAGAGAATTGTATTTGCCATGGTGTAATCACAGTATGTGTTTGTTTCCCTGGCAATGATGTCCATCAGGGGTTCATCGAAAAATAACTCAAAGCAGTCCAGTTCACTGGCATTGTTCCCAAGTGGACAAGATGGCTTTATTCCACTTTGTGTTTCATCAAAGTCATGGGGACTGGGAACAAACTTGTCACCGTCCTGCCAATCCCAGATGCGGTCTGCTGGTGGGGTCTGGATATTGTACTGTGGTTGTGGTTGCGCAGGTTGTGGGAGTGTGGGGTACGGTGAGGCTGGTTGTTGTGCAGAGTCAGCAGCATGGGTAGTAGCGTGGCCCGCTGATGGTGCTACATGGGCCGTGCCACCCTCACTATCACCACCACTGCCTGCTCCATCACTCACATCATTCATACCCATCGTTACAATATCGTCATCCTCACTATCAGGTCGTGGTGTAGGGCCACGGGATGTGCTCCCAGAGTTTCTCCTTCCCCTTGGAACAACATATGAAACACTACCAGACCGCATGCTACGTCGTACATACTGCCGCTTAACTGGGGAATACAGTGAACCCCCGCATAACGATTACCTCCGAATGCGACCAATTATGTAAGTGTATTTATGTAAGTGCGTTGGTACGTGTATGTTTGGGGGTCTGAAATGGACTAATCTACTTCACAATATTCCTTATGGGAATAAATTCGGTCAGTACTGGCACCTGAACATACTTATGGAGTGAAAAAATATCGTTAACCGGGGGTCCACTGTATTCACTCTCACTGTCACTAGAACTGCTTTCAATGACCTTGAAATCACTATCACTATCACTGCTAACATCTGGGTGTTGTACACGACCAAATAGTTTCCTCTTTCGTCCTGGTACAGGCGAACGTGAACGTGAACAAGCCGGCCCAGCACCAGAGGTGGTAGGTTGTGGGTCATCTGGGTTTTCATCACTAATTACGTTATCCTGGGCACTTTTTCCCGTAACACTCACTTCAAAACCCTGGAATTCACTGTCACTGACATTTTCATCGCTGTTAGAGCTATCACTTGGGAACAAAAGACCTCCAATCCGCCGAGGAGTGAGGAACTTCTTACCAAGAGGCATGGTGAAAATGGACTAACAACATGGCATTCCCACAATGCACCGCTGGGTCCCAGATTTTTTTCACAGGGTGCACACCGACCACTGAGACCCATTCTCTCTCATGTAGGCCTACCAGGCCTTTCGCGCTTGATTTGAAGCCGCTAGAATTTGTGCGTATAAATACGTCAGAAACATTGGCTCGTAAGACGTATTTATACGTCGGAAACAGTCAAAGGGTTAATAACAGAGTTCTGTTCCTAAGACCATGTCGGCAAACAAATTTGTCGCTAAGTGAGGAACATACTATGGTTTGTGTCAACCATCTTTGATATTATTTTCATGTCACCTTTGCAGCATTTATAACATTTCTGGTATACGCATTTTTAAATGTTTATACAGTAGTGTACTGTATACAGTGGTACCCTGACTTATGAGTGCCCCAATTTACGAGATTTCCGAGTTACGAGCCAACACTCGGTCGATTTTTTGCTTTGAGTTGCGAACCAAAATCCAAGTTACGAGTGAGCCTCAGATATGCCGCCACTTGCAGGAGAGAAGAAATATCAAAAACCTCAATAATAACTAATGTGTAACATCCTTTCAATTTTGATACCACTGGTAGTGTCATCCTGCCAGAGTGTTCTATAACGTATGCCCTAAGTAAAGAGAAACAATTTCAGAACGTGTAATACACGTTTGGCAGGCCGGTTGGTTGGGTGGCCGGCTGGCTGGTCGGCAGCTGGCTGGCTGGCTGATTTGCTTTGGCTGTCTCTATCTCCTTCTGTCTGCCTGTATCTATCTCTGTCTCTGTCTAGCTCTGTCTCTACCTCACAGGTACACATAACACAGTTAAACATAGTATAAATTACCTAGGATAACCCAAAAAATCCAGACAAAGTGCTATACTTTGTATAATAAGCATGACTGGCAAGTAATACACATATTCACTTGTTCTGGAATCAGACGTGACTGGCTTTGCATCATGTGTAATACCTGTTGGTTCATGAGCGGCTCTCTCTCTGAGACAGAGACAAGTAGAGAGACAAGAAGATAGAAACACAGGCAGACAGAAAGACAGACAAGCTGAGACAGAGATAAACATAGATAGAGCTAGACAGACAAATAGACAGAAACAGACATGTTTATTTGTAACAGTGAAAAATAAATCCAAGGCAGTGCACGATTATCAAATGTCACTCCACTGGCAGTGGAGTGACACTCGTGGAGTAGACACAGTGAGGAGCAGGGGTGCAGTGAGGACAATAAGGGAACACTGTATAACATTCGTGGCCCCAGACTATTCAACATCTTACCAGAAGATATCAGAAACACAGCTGGAACAAGTGTCGAAGCCTTCAAGAGGAAACCAGATAAGTATCTTCACCAGGTGCCAGATCAACCAGGCTGTGATGTATATGTGGGGCAGCGGGCCTCCAGTAGCAACAGCCTGGTTAACCAGGCAAGCACAAGACGAGCCTGGCCCATGGCTGGGCTCCGAGAGTAGTGAGATTCTCAAAACTCATCAAAGGTAAGGTATATCAAAGTGATTCTCAAAACTCATCAAAGGTAAGGTATATCAAAGTTATAAAGGTATAAATATCTAAACCACTTAGCATAAGTGAGAACATAAATGAGTTCATTAATAGATACACAGAATGTACTGGCAAGGATTTCCATTAACCCTTCGTCATCATTGTTTCTAGCTGTATCAATTCATTTGCAACAATGGTCTTTGCTGCTCTCTTTACTATGTCTGAGTTGCTACATCTCACTTCTACCCAGGATAAAGTGTGAGAGAACTTCCTTCCCCAAGAGTACATGTATGGCCACTATAACATGAGTAATCATGATTATGATTATACTGCTTTAACATGCATAAACTGCTATATATAAGTAGCAAAAGTGAAAGCATCAGCATACCTCAGCAGGGGCCTCTGAAGCGGATCGGTTGTATGCCCGCAAGTCACCCAGATGTTTGGGTGTCCAAACAGATCGCTCTTCATCATCTGACCCAGAATTGTCAATACGGCGCTTTTTTCGAGCAGCAGCAGATGGGGCACTCCCTCCCCCTTCAGATGAGCCCCCAGCCTTGCTCAGCTGTCTCTTAATGCGCGTCGACATCTTTACCTTGTCATAATTTCATACAGTCCACTACAGGGGATTCTGCAACAGATTATATAAAAAATTAAATCATAAAAAGTTAAACTGCAAAAACAAAATGCATATGTGGAAAAGGTATTAAATATACACATACATAAATATAAAGAACATTTAAAAATACCGAAAATTTATTTTGAAATGCTGTAACTTCGTGTCCAAATGGACAATTTTGCAGGTACGTAATTATAAATTAATAAACAAAGTACATGTACTGGAGAAAGAGATCTATAATAAATCCTATAGTCATTGTAATATAATTTGTTTGCTTAATTTATATCATTAGATAAACTCAACCACTGTACAGAATTTTATTCTGTATATTTTTTATTCTCTACTTATACAGATTTGGACTTTTTTTTTACCTAATTATACAGTTATATAATGTAAACTCTTTTACAAATAAAAATTGTACAATATTTCATTTACTGTATACAATCAACTACTGTACAACATAAATTTAAATTCAATATCTAATTAATTATTTTTTTTTATTATCACACTGGCCGATTCCCACCAAGGCAGGGTGGCCCGAAAAAGAAAAACTTTCACCATCATAAAGTTTTTCTTCTTCTCTTTTTTAGTAAATGTATACAGGAGAAGGGGTTACTAGCCCATTGCTCCCGGCATTTTAGTCGCCTCATACGACACGCATGGCTTACGGAGGAAAGATTCTTTTCCGCTTCCCCATGGACAATAGAAGAAATAAAAAAGAACAAGAGCTATTTAGAAAAAGGAGAAAAACCTAGATGTATGTATATATATATATATATGCATGTGCGTGTCTGTGAAGTGTGACCAAAGTGTAAGTAGGAGTAGCAAGATATCCCTGTTATCTAGCGTGTTTATGAGACAGAAAAAAGAAACCAGCAATCCTACCATCATGCAAAACAGTTACAGGTTTTTGTATCTAATTAATTACAGTACTCAAATCCTTTCACATAGATATACATTATTATGGCCAATAGCAGTTACTTATATATACACATCTTAATCATGGTGCCCTTAAATTTTGCAAGCTACAAGCAGTAAAGTTTGGCCTAGATGTGAGACAATGAGTTTGTGCAGTGAGTGTGCACAATATACAAAAAATCAAGTTCAAAGTATTGCAAAATAGAAACAGCTAACCTTTGAACCTATGTTTTGTAGTGCCTTCTGGGGTGGTTTTTACAACTTTATTGGCTGTTTCTTGGTGCCATTTGACAGATCAGAAGACATACTAGTAAATTAAAATGATTTGTGTTTCAGATGAGAAGTAAGCTGAAAAAGGCCTCTAAGCGGCAGAGATATTCCAATTTTGGCAGTTTTCCTGAGGAAGGAAATCCCCTCAAGTTATATTTTATTAGCCGAGAAATGTGATAAAACTAATTTTTTTTTGTAAAATGGAGTCAAAATGATGGCAAATGTTATATAGGAGAGTCCTGGGGATTTGATTAATAATTATTATAATCAAATTAAGTGCTAAACCCACAAGTCATACAATGCTTCACATGATAAATGAATAAAGGAAAGGTTGCTTTAGTGACTGTTATGCCTACAGTAATTATTTTAAATTCTTTAAATTGGAATTTCTTGAATTTTGTGAAAAATGGCCAATTTATCAAATTCTGGACACTTTATAGTTCTGATGGGTGAATGGGAAATTTCTCACATTCAATCAATAGAATGGAAGATATAGTCAGCAAACTAGACAGGAACTTCGGATACACAGCAATCCACAACTGCAGACCATACCAAGTTGGGGGTGGTACTGCAATCTATTACTCTAATGAACTATCTTGTTATACAGGTTGGCCATCACTAATCTGGAATCACTTTGACCTGTAGTGTGCCAGATTAGTGAGTTTGCCGGATTACAGAGTGGTTAGGTTAGAATACACTTAATTAACCTATCAATAGAGACTCTCTCTGCTACATCTTCCTCATTTTCATCACTTCTTTCTCCTCCATTGACTTGCTGCTGTGGATTTTCAACCATCTGCACAATTTCTGAGTCAGTAAGATGATGAAATTTGAGTCAGTATAATGATGAAATCTGAGTCAGTATAATGATGAAATTTGAATCAGTATAATGATGAAATCTGAAATTATGCTAGCTGAAATTAGTGCCGGATTACTGATGGAACCTGATAACTGATTGCCGGATTAGTGATGGCCAACCTATAACACCACTTGCTATAGTGATGAACATGGAGAACATATTTTTGCTAATTTTACTGTAAAAAACCTTAAGACTCCTATAACAATCAGCGCCATTTACCGGATGCCTCATACAAACATCCAAAATTTTAGCGATAAATTAAAGATAATACTAATAACAAACAACCAAATGAACAAGCACCACCTTCTCTTAGCCGGAGACTTCAACATCAACCTTGGCCTACCAGATGATCAGCCTGTAGCTGATTTCATCAATAATATGAACAACACACTTCTCATAATAACAATAACTAAACCAACCAGGCTGACTGAGACAAGTGCAACCATAATTGACCATATATGGACCAATATACTAGCCCCCCTTAACCCTTTGACTGTTTCGGTCGTATATATACGTCTTACGAGCCACCGTGTTTGACGTATATATACAGTGGACCCCCGCTTAACGATCACCTCCAAATGCGACCAATTATGTAAGTGTATTTATGTAAGTGCGTTTGTACGTGTATGTTTGGGGGCCTGAAATGGACTAATCTACTTCACAATATTCCTTATGGGAAAAAATTCGGTCAGTACTGGCACCTGAACATACTACTGGAATGAAAAAAGTTCGTTAACCGGGGGTCCACTGTACTCATAAATTCTAGCGGCTTCAAATCAAGCAGGAGAAAGCTGGTAGGCCCACATGTGAGAGAATGGGTCTGTGTGGTCAGTGTGCACCATATAAAAAAAAGTCCTGGAGTATGCATTGCATAATGAGAAAAAAACTGACCGTTTTTTTAATTAAAATGCCAACTTTGTGGTCTATTTTTGTATAGTATTTATGGTGCCAGTACTGACCGAATTTGTTCCCATAAGGAATATTGTGAAGTAGATTAGTCCATTTCAGACCCCCAAACATACATGTACAAACGCACTTACATAAATACACTTACATAATTGGTCGCATTCAGAGGTGATCGTTATGCGGGGGTTCACTGTATATCTTTCTTTCTTTCTTTCAACACACCGGCCATATCCCACTGAGGCGGGGTGGCCCAAAAGGAAAAACAAAAGTTTCTCCTTTCACATTTAGTAATATATACAGGAGAAGGGGTTACTAGCCCCTTGCTCCTGGCATTTTAGTCGCCTCTTACAACACGCATAGCTAACGGAGGAAGAATTCTGTTCCACTTCCCCATGGAGATAAGAGGAAATAAACAAGAACAAGAACTAGTAAGAAAATAGAAGAAAACCCAGTGGGGTGTGTATACATATGCTTGTACATGTATGTGTAGTGTGACCTAAGTGTAAGCAGAAGTAGCAAGACATACCTGAAACCTTGCATGTTTATGAGACAGAAAAAACACCAGCAATCCTACCATCATGCAAAACAATTACAGGTTTTCATTTTACATTCACTTGGCAGGACGGTAGTACCTTCCTGGGCGGCTGCTGTCTACCAACCTACTACACACACACACACACACACACATATTATATATATATATATATATAATATATATATATATATATATATATATATATATATATATATATATAATAAGGGTGTGTGTATGTGTATGTGCTTGCACACGTGCATATTTGTGTGAGCATGTGGCATGTGTGTGTCTCTTGTGTGTATGTGTGTATGCATGGTGTGCATGTACGGTTGGTGTGCATGCATATTTGGTGTGCATGCATGCATGCATGGTGGTGGGTGGGTGGGTGGGTGGGTGGGTGGGTGGTGTGTGGGGTGTGTGTGTGTGTGTGTGTGGTGTGTGTGTGTGTGTGTGTGTGTGGGTGTGTGTGTGTGTGTGTGTGTGTGTGTGTGTGTGTGTGTGTGTGTGTGTGTGTACTCACCTAATTGTGGTTGTAGGGGTCGAGACTCAGCTCCTGGCCCCGCCTCTTCACTGATCGCTACTAGGTCCTCTCCCTCTCTGCTTCTTGAGCTTTGTCATACCTCTTCTTAAAACTATGTATGGTTTGTGCCTCCACTACTTCACTAGCTAGGCTATTCCACTTCCTGACGACTCTATGACTGAAGAAATACTTCCTCACGTCCCTGTGACTCGTCTGAGTCCTCAGCTTCCAGTTGTGACCCCTTGTTTCTGTGTCCCCTCTCTGGAACATCCTATCTCTGTCCACCTTGTCTATTCCCCCGCAGTATCTTGTATGCCGTTATCATTTTTCCCCTGACCCTTCTGTCCTCCAGCGTCGTCAGTCCGATTTCCCTCAACCTTTCCTCATACGACATTTCCCTGAGCTCTGGGACTAGCCTTGTTGCAAACCTTTGAACTTTCTCTAACTTTTTGACATGCTTGACCAGGTGTGGGTTCCAGACTGGTGCTGCATACTCCAGTATGGGCCTAACATACACAGTGTACAGTGTCTTGAACGATTCCTTATTAATGTATCGGAACACTATTCTCAGGTTTGCCAGGCGCCCGTATGCTGCAGCAGTTATTTGGTTGGTGTGTGCCTCCGGTGATGTGCTCGGTGTTATGGTCACTCCAAGGTCTTTCTCCCTGAGTGAGGTCTGTAGTCTTTGTCCACCTAGCCTATACTTTGCCCCTCCCCAATCTTCATGACTTTGCCCCTCCCCAATCTTCATGACTTTGCATTTGGCAGGGTTGAATTCGAGAAGCCAGTTTCTGGACCACATGTCCAGCCTGTCCAGGTCTCTTTGCAGTCCTGCCTCATCCTCATCCGATTTAATTCTTCTCATCAGCTTCACATCATCTGCGAATAGGGACACTTCAGAGTCTATTCCTTCCATCATGTCATTTGCATATATCAAAAATAGCACTGGTCCTAGAACTGACCCCTGTGGGACCCTGCTTGTCACAGGCGCCCACTGTGATACC